GTCGTAGGTCGGTAAATGCTGATTAAATTGTGTGTGTTCGACCATCGATTTCGATAAAGTCCACTGAGTGCACCAGCAGGTTGGTACGGAAGGTGACGGCCTCAGTGAGTAGATTATAATGATAACGGACGTAGTTAGCGCCAATCGAACTTCTCACCTTCGCCCGGGGTCAAAAACACCAAACGGGACCCGGCGTTGGCCGCTTTTTCCTTTGCAAGCCAGAAACACCGCCTAACTTAGTATTAAGTGAGAGCAGACTGCGCGGGCACCACCGCACTACCTACCGTCGCTCACCCTTAGTAGATGGCAAGACACACTCAAGGAGGCCTACATTGATACGGTTACTCCCATTTCTCCTACTAACTATTAGCTAGCAATGTAACTGCGCTTTAGTTGTACTGGTACCAATATTTGTGAGAGGTGACGCTGATTAAATCCAACGCTGGGGCTCATACCCCTTGATCTCAACAAGACGTGTGAATCTGGGCTTAAACTATTCCGAGTAAGTATATGCCTGGGGCCCTGAGCACAGCAGAGCTTGCTTTGGTTTCCACCCTCTCAACTCTATTCATTAGGCTGTGTCCGCTCCTACTAGCTTCGGACAAGGATACTGCTGCTAAATGTACGTGCCCATGATGGAGTGCTAATTCTAATGACCATGCTTACTAAGGCCAGTAAATAGTATAATATAATACGGCCTGAGTGTGCTTTGTAGGAGGTCGGCACCCAGTATGCACTCCCAATCTCTACGAGGTAAAGTGATTAGGTTAGAGGTTAAATAAGGCCTCATTAAAAATAGCACAAGCCCTACTTTGCCTTTATGTCGTAAAGGTTGCCGTCTATAGACTACCTATAGGCCTTCTACCGTATCTATCTGTAGCTTGGACTTTATTGAACGTCTACTCATATTCCCTCGATCCCAGCATGGACATCGCATTTTACTAAGATTGGGCTAGAATACTGCTGCTAGAGGTAATATGCCACTGCTAAGAGTGCTGATTCTAGTAGTCATACTTACTAAGACCAGTGGATAGTATATTCTAGTAATATATTCCCATAATTGTATAAATAGCTGACATGCATACTACTTTTGCAGCAAACATAACAGATGGAAATATGAGCTTACGCGCGTCCTAAAATTCATTCGGGCTGATTTGTAAGACACCCAGCGAGCGTTCACGGCCGGTAGCCAAGACTGTCAGCTGATTAATTTACCATATGCCCAACGCACATACGAGGTATTTTTCAGTTAATACGCATCCTGTGAGTACGGTAGATCACTGGGTATTCAATTGACTGCCTGCTGACACGAAATGAATATTGCCTAGTTATTTCGCTGAAATAAATGGGATGTGTGGTTCCACCTAGTCGTTTCTTCTATGAAATACCTACTTATGACATTTGGGTGGTCTTAGCTTTGCTCGCTCTCCTCTTTAAATATTCTGATTTCATAATTTGTCATTTGTTTCTAAAACCAGAAGGAATTATTTTATTTATTCACAACTGTAATTTGGAAGTATACAAACATGTGGCAGAAGTGATTGCTAAATAGCGGAGCATCCCAGAAATATTGTCGGTATCGAGAACTGAGTTTCAAGGACCATCCTAATTCGAACAGGTTCGTTAACATTAACTACAGAAACCAACATTCAAAGTAATAAACTGAAAACGCTGGAAACTACAGAAGCATATCAGATCTATTTTAACAAAGTATAAATGACTTTCTCAGTCTCTCCCGTATCCCCTACGGCAAGAATGATTAGCGAGGCTTCAAAATATTTTCGACTTACAATGAAAAACCACTTCCTACCGTTCAGTAGGCATACTTTCCGTTTTCTTACGTTTCCAAATGGGGTTAGTAATAATATTTAAAATGCGCCTAATTGGCCTAACCCGAGGTCACCGAACACGTCCCATCTTACACGCCCTGATCTTCAGTGACCTCGCTGGAGGTCAGCGAACACCCCCCAACTTACACGCGCTCGCCGTTGGTCCAGTGGGGTTAGTAATAATGTTTAAAAATGTTAAACATATGCCTACTGAACAAAAGGAAGTAGTTTTTTCATTATAAGTCGAACATATTTTTGGCCTCACTAATCATTCTCGCCTCCCCTACTA